TATGAGGAAAATAAGAAATGGATTCTTGCCTTTTCTAAGAGCATTAGTGTGAAAGTGAATGCAACTGACAAGGTGTTGGTTTAAATTCAGCCCGTCTATGTGCTGTGTCCCCTCAGGGTGTGGTCGATCTTGGCTCTCCACAATTTCTTGTCCTTTGTAGCTTTTAGTTGTTGCCCTTTCGCTATCCCTCCTAAACCTTGTTCACCTATCAATTTAAACAAGTTCATTAGTTAGGTTATGCACTGCTTTTCTCTGTCCCTTTTGCCTTCAGTATGTCCTGGGAGTATCAAATTTTCTAGGCCCTCTTTCCTCATTATGTTCCCTAGAAATTTCAGCTATCTCTTTCTGATTCAGTACAAGTGCTCTTTTTCTTTCCATTTTCTCTAAACCTTTGTTGTTGCTCACATGTTCAGTTTCTTTTATTATCAGCATCCTTCTGTAGAACCACATTTCTTTTGCTCCTTCATCTATGAGGAGATTGTCCAATATTCACTGTCATATAGGAGGACAGATATTACGTAAAAATTCAGAACTCTTTTCTTTGTTTATAATGAAATTTTTCTGTTTCTTAATACTTTGCTCAGCTTTTGGAAGACATGTTTATTTCCAATTTACTTTAAAATATCCTCATTGCTCACATTTTATTCTTGAAATCCTTCTATAGAACTACATTTCTTTTGCTTAGAGTCTTTTCTTCATCAGTGAGGAGATTGTCCAACATTCACTGCCATATAGAAGGACTGACTCTTTTCTTTGTTTTTCTTGTTTCTTAATACTTTAACCAATTCTAATTTCACATCCTGGGTAAGACATTAAACTACGTCCAGCAGCAAGGCCTCTGATCAGGAGGTTTTGAGGAGCGTGGAACCACCTCTTAATCGCTAGTGTTCCCAGGTCCATCCTGACCCGGGATGGTAGTACCTTTTAGGGTCCCAGCTATGGGCAAATAGTTAATTATTACCAGCAATACATTTTTGAAAAAAATTATTACCAGCAATACAATTTTGAAAGAAAAATATTACCAGAAAACAGATTTTTGACAAAACAAAATATTACCAGAAATAAAAAATGTTGTCGGCATTAAATACCCCATTGAGATTGATATGCCGTAAAACAAAATAAACCAAACCAAACCAATTCTAATTTCAGCACTGATAGCAATTACACTAACTGCACATCTGGCAAATGATATGCAAAAGTCAGCCTATGTTTTTTTTTTTTTTTTTTAAACATAGGCTGACTTTTGCATTAGATTCATATATTAGTTTACAGCTATCACAAGCTTGTTTTCGTATGGTTGTCTCCCCCCGCAATATGCTACTGCTTCATCCCTGGCTCAATCTAAGGCCTGAAAAAGATCCATATTTTGATTTGGTGGAACCAACCTGGCAACTTTCTCCAATGTTATAACAGCAAAAGCATAAAATTCAGCTTTGGAATATTTCTCATTGATCCAATACCCGACATGTTGCTTTTCTTTTCTTTTCTTTTTTTTTTCCCATTGTTGGACTTTAGTTGGCTATCCATATAGATTCCACTACATCATCGATAATCTTTTATAAATTCACATTAGGCTAAATTTTTTTTCTGTGCCTATCAATAGGACAAAAAAAAGCCTGCATTACGATTTACTAAGCTTGAGTGACTTCTCAATGTTTCTCGAATGGAAAATTTATATTGAAGCAAATGCTAGATCTACTGCAAGGAAAGATGGTTCACAATGTCATACCAGACACTTTTTCTCACCAGAATCTATATTACACTTTTTTTTTTATTTATAAACTTTTCCCCCAAGCAAGGTTGGAGTGCCACTAGAACACAAGGAGTTACAGAAATTGGGAGCAAGAGTAAAGAGGCGTGAAAGAGGAAAGGATGACGAGAAGGACAGGAAATAGTTCAAGGCATCTGCCGATGTCAATTGACATTGCATTTGAATAGTTGGACATTATAGCTATCAGGGAAGCAAGTAAGAGGAAGGGAGTTCCACAGATGGGAAGTGCGAGACATTAGAGCTGAAGAAACAGCTAGATTTAACCGTTTCGACAGTGAAAGGGTGGGGCTGAGATGCTAACCTAGTGACACATTTAAATTCATGCAGTTTGGGAACTAGCGAAAAAAGATCATTAGAGCAGTTATCTTGAAAGTATTTGTAGAAAAGACAGAGGGAGGCAATGGCATATCTGTGAGAGAGCAACTGTAAACGAGATGCCAGATCAGGGCCAACCACATTGTATATTTATCTATAAGTCTACCATTCATCCATGCATTGAATATTGCTGCCATATCTGATGCCTTCGTTATGTATTTAGAGATTCTAGATAACGTACAAAGAATCTGCAATGTTATCAGTCCTGATCTGGCATCTTGGCTTCAGTCATTTTCTCATGTCTGTAACATAGCTTCCCTGTGGCTTTTCATGGTAATTGTTCTGATGAGCTTTCTTCTATGGTACATAGACTTTATGAATTTAAGTATGTAGATTGGCAACAAGGTCACTTCATTTTACAGTTGAAATAGTGTAAATATTTTCTTCTATCACACTTCTCACTTGTGGACTCTCCTTCCAGTCAACTTTGCATTTAAATTTTCAGAGATCAATGTCAATTGTTATCTTCTGTCTTAATTCCTGTTCTTTTATTGTTTTCTCTCCTTAATCTTTTCTTTTTCTTATATTCTCTAACATTCAATAACCCCCCCCTTGCATCTCAGTGGCTTTATTGCCTTCCTTGGGATGAAATGATTAAGAAAAATATGATGCCTGTTTTACATAAAGGAATAAAATAGTCTTAAATTTGGGGTCTGGAATGGATTCCCCTGTGAATATAAAGAACTGTTTTAGATTGCACATTCACAACCCCACACAGGGTGTTGTCAGTTTTGTAAATTTTTATTAAATTGTCCCACAATTTGACTTTCAGCTATAATTTTCATTAGAGCAAAAAACAAAAAACATTTTTTCTCAGACAGGGGCTCAGGTATTAATTCATAGCAATGATGAATTGAATTTTCTCTAGTATTGTCCAAAAAAAAGTGCCGAGGACTTTTGCATCATCAGTTCTCCATTTTAATCAAATCAAAATTGGCAACCTTTTCAATGGGCCTGCAGATCTCTGTGGATCTGTTGTCCTGATATATAAATAATTGACAATGTAATTAAATATGGCTGCTCTCATGAGAATTGGCCATCTTTCTCATTGTGTCCTTAAATTACTGCGATTTAATGGGTTTGTTTTGCAATCTCATTTTGTTCTGCTGCAAGTGATTGGTCGTTATTATAATAATACTAATTTTATTTTCTACTTATTAAAAAATGTTATCATTTGTTTCTTTGGCAAAAATCCAAAGATCATATTTTGCAAAAAAACATAATTCAGCCAACTAGAATTTCTGTGGAAGTGGAAATAACGGTAGTCGTATGGTTGATCTCCTTTTAGAAGGCCTGAGCAATCCTAGCAATGGCCAGGTTAATAGATATGAAAGAAAAAGTATCTATATAGTCATGTATGATAACATAACATTATGAAGCCAAGATGGGGACACCTTATTTCTGAACTTTATATCATAGCTAAATAACAATATTGTTTTAATAGCCACAGTGCTTAAGGTCTGAAGTGAGGCCATTCCAGTAACAAATACTTCTGACAGACTTCATTTCTACAAAATCATTGGCTAACTTAACTCGAATACCATCTTAAATGATGCTGTTGTTGAAAATGAGTTTCTTGTATTGGTCAAGTTAAGCAATGTTGCTGCAGTACATTTTGTACCCTTATGACCCTGATAGGTTACAGGACTCAATATTTGATAAACTGGCTTAGTTAAACTTATATCCTGGATATAAAAGGCCCTAGCTTAGAATAACCCCAGGTATACTCTGAATTTTTACAATGGCTGATTACCATTAAAGAAAGAATAGTTTTAACCTGTGAAGATTTCATGATTTTCTAATTTTAAATTTCTGGTGAATCTTAATTCTTCAGTTAATGATTGAATAAGCTGGTGGCAAGTTCTGTGTCAATAAAATATTCATAGAAATTCCTCTGATGCATTGTTAAACTTTTGAGCTTAATAACTTTAACTAAATATTGCAATAACTCAGGCTGGTCATTATTTTAAGAAGTGGGGCACAAATGAAAAGATTTGAAATTGACACCTTTTTCCATTTCAATGAAATAAGGCGTTAAACAACTTATCTTCTCTTCTTTCTTTGATTTTCTCACTGAAACCAAGTAGCATATCTGATGTCTTATGTCTTAACACATGATCGAAATAGAATAGCCCATTATTTATGAAGCAGAAGATGTTAAAAACTTCTCTCTTTGTTTCTTTCTCTCACTGAAACCAAGTAGCATCTATAATAGCTTTCAATGCGAGTCCAGATACTACTTGGAAATTCATTGTTAGAAACAACTTCATTAAAATCAAAGAACCATTTGATTATAAGCAGCAGTTAATTTTAAATTCATTTTATTTAGTGTTTTGGGATTCACTGATTTTGATAACACTATCCGGCTGATTGTTATTTGTGGTTATTTAAAAAAAAAAAAAAAAAAAAAAAATGAAAAAAGAATATGGCTTCCTCTGTAAATGAAAATGAGGCTTTTTTTTTCTTTTCTTTTTTCTTTTTTTTTTAAATTTTTCTTTTTATTATTAGCCAATTAGATGGCAGGGTTGAAAGGGTGGGGTTGTAGAGGTTATCTTGTCAACATTACTCTATTAATTAAAGACTGCCACCTATTTCTCAGCTGTTTTTATCAAATTTTATTTTTATTTTTCCCTTGCGTTTCAGCAGGATTTGGCCATAAGTTCAGAACATTCATTTCTCTGCCCACCAGTCCCTCTGATTCCTAAACTCATGTTGTGTATTTCTGTGTTTGATTTCATTGTTCTGGAGCCTTTTTATCAGTAGTAAACACCTTTCCTCTGAATCCTACCCATACAGGGAAAAAGTAGAAACCACTATCTAGAATCAAAAAGTCTATGGTAATTGCTTTCTTAAGATAAGGAATAGCAAAAGTTTAATATCTCTCTCTCTTTCTCTCTCTCTCTCTCTCTATCTCTATCTCTATCTCTATCTCTCTCTATCTCTCTCTCTCATTAGGAATTGCAAAAAACTTGGTTTAGTATCTCTTAACCAATTGGAAACTAATTCTGACGACCTTCACCTTGTCTTTAGAGAATAAGTTTGTACTTTTATTCGTTTTTCGTTACCCGATAGTGTTTACCTTGGGCTGATAGAAAGAAGCCTCCTGTTTGGCTATTTTTATAAGGTCGCCCTGGATGATAGAAATACTTGAAATGTTGCAAAAATCACATCCCTTAGATGGAAGGCAATAAAATCATCATCATCATCATCATCATCCTCATGGTTGTGTAGATGGCCCAACAGTTAACACCACAAAAAATGGACTTAATAAACAGTTCAAACTCTGGTTCAGACTGTTTTTGTTTATTCCAGGAAAGGCATGAATCTGATGTTCCCTGCTCTACCTTTACTGAAATAGCAGACTGTGCTATCCAACCTGGATTGGTTACCTGTCAAGTGAACAGGAAATCATTCTGTTTTTTTTGTTTTTTGTTTTTTTTCTTTTCCATAAGCTATCCTAGTATTGCTTGAATTAATAAATATTAAAGAAAAAGAAGCTGTGGAGAATCATGTTCGCTTATGTTCTGAAGAGATACTTGAGGAGGATATTGGTTACAATGATTAAAACATCAACTATCAAGATATTTTTTTTTTTTTGTATCTCATGTAGTGGGACTTTATGGACTGCTGTTGTTATGTGCATTTGTTTTCTTTACATTATTTATTTTATTAAAAAAGGGTTCGACTTCATGATCAGAGGTCCTGTAACTACTTAAGGGTCATAGAGGCACTGCATGCATTACAACTGTAGGCATGATAACCTGACAGAGCCTCTCCTCTTCTTCTTGTTTTTTTTTGTTGGTGTTTTTTTTTTTTTTTTTTTTTTATATAGAGTTTTATTGTCTTTTGGCTTTTCTGTTTTTGAGTTTTTGCCTTACCATAGCTAAAAAGTCCAGTCAACCTTGTTCATAGCTCTTAGATGAATATGGATTTGTGCCTTTCCCATGTTACTTATTGTCAGATGAATGGAACTGACCCAAGCAGAATTTGAACTCTGTATACCAGTTTACTGATAACTATCATGTTATGTGCACTGAATGTGCTTGCAATTTAACAAATGCTAAACTTCTTTGTATCTGTGCTGTGTGCCTTCAGGGATTGGCCAATCATGGCTCTCTCTCCAACACTTTATTCCTTGCAAGCCTAGGCCATGCTTTTTTCTTTGCCAAGCCCCACCTTCCTGTTCTGTCTTCTATTCACACAAGCTCTTGAGGAAGATTACCAACTACTCTCCACTTGTCTCTTGCCTTTGATAAGCCCTATGAAGTTCTCCTAGCTTCCTTATGTGCCCAAGTAATTCCAGCCATCTCTTTCTAATTTTGAGGATAAGTGTTCTTTTTCTTATCATTTAGTCTTGCTTCTTCATTTTGTCTATATAATTTTCAATATCCTTTTGTAAAACCACATTTTCTGTCATCTCCAGTAGTTAAGCCCCGAAAATGTGAACAAAATTAGGATCTGATTGTAAGCAAGAATATATAATTTTTTTTTTTTTTTTTCATCCATTTATTTGTTTATCATTTAATTTTTTTGTTAAACAAAACATAATCCATAAATGTTGTTTTTTTTAATGATTCATTGAAGAATCATTAAAAAAAACAACATTTATGGATTGTGTTTTCCGCTTTTCACAAACTAAATTGAAATTTTCAACTGCTTCATGCAAATTTTTCATGACACTCCTTCTAATGACAATGGCTTTTACAAACTACATCAGGATGTAAAGATGATGCTTCACCTTCTCTCATTCTTTTTCTATCTCTCTGTCTTTCCTTTTTCCCCACCTTTTCTTGTCTTTGATTGGCTGATCCGTTGGAATTTCAAAATCTCCAAGAATTTTACTATTTCAAGTTCTTGGATGTGTAGGTAACATGGAAGTTATTGGCAAGTTCACATACCATTGCACTTACTTTGTACCAATGACCATGGGAAAGACATGAAATCATGGCTTCTTCCTCCCAGTCATGGGTTAAATAACAGCTGAGTGGACAATCTTACTTTGAATGGCAACCCACCTAAAAGAAGGAAAAAGAATTCTGAATTCAAACCAATTGGATATACTGACATTGTTGATTATCGAGTGGCAACCTTTTAACTATTAGACTTGAGTTTCTTAAAGTGGATATGCCTCCAATGTGAGAACTGCTAATGGATAATTTTAAAGGGAATGTTGTGCTCTATTTCTTTGGATGGTTTCTTGTTTGTGTTTATACCATTAGATCTTAAATTCAAGTTTTTTGCACAGTTCTCGGTGGAATAACCGGTCATTTCTTTTATTTCTGTACTACTAGTTCTGCTCATATGTACTTTAGAATTCTTATTAGTGATATTTGGGCTTGTAAATCATAACTATCACTATTGTGAATGGTAATTTTAGATTTTATAAGTATCCGTCCGATGGTCATATTAAAAAAAAAGTTTCTTAATGTGTTAAGTTTGATTCTAGCTAGGTGTTTTTGTAAATGTAGCCTTGTGCCAGACTAAACTAGTTTTAGTAAGAAAGTATTTGAGTTATTGAAGAGCAATTTTTGTTCAACACATTGCCCTTGGGCAGTATGAAGCCTGCAAAGCAATTTCATAGTCAAAACCAAAGCCAATTTTTAAAAAATTACCTGTTTTGCTTCAGATAGTCTGAAATGTTGAAAATGTTGTCACTGATTAAAATTAATTGCTCTCTTCATTTGTTTTACTTTGTTTTTATGTCATTGGAAAAAAAAACTCCTGCTTTACATCACTGATCTCTCACAAGCCAGTGAATTAAAAAAAAAAAATGTTGGGGTGGGGCTGCGTTTACAACTTAAAAAAAAAATATTTTTTCATCTTCATTTTTTATTAGATAAAGCATTGTTAATAATTATTAATAATTTTTTTTTTTACTAGTATTTACAAAAGCAAAAATTACAAAATTAAAACTACTTTTTTTCTGATCCTGCTTTGTCATCTTATTGCCATAGATTGATGGCCTGTACAAAAATTTATGGCATTAAGTATCCAAAAACTAAACTCAAAAATTAATAATGCTTAACAATGCTTCATTTAATTAAAAAATGAAAATAAATGCTAGTTAGAAATTAATAATTTTTTTCAGTAGCAATTTCTAGTGGTAACTATACCAAAAATCATTGATAGCTTTATAAGTCTTTCAACTATTCAAGGTAAATGTCTTGAGCTTATGGGTAATGTCCTGCACGAAAATAAGTTGTGGAACTTAGCAACAATCACAGAGGTTTGGACTCTTGCAAGATATGTTGACTTTATTTGAACTTTGACTTGTGTAAGTTTGGATTTTTGGCATAATTTTGATGGGAAAATTGAATCTTCTTGGGTTCCTTCAATCTATTGGAGAAAATTATAGTTTGTTATTATTTTGAATTTAGATGCAATTTATTTGTTGACGGAACAAATATAACTTCCTTTTTTTTCTCTTCCTCTGTTGCTTTGAACAAGAGGCCAGCTGAGTACTTAAACCTCCTCGTAACTGGAATACCACTTGAATCATTATCAGGCAGAACCACGCCTACACTGTTCCTTTAGTGCTGCACATCCTTCACACACACACACACACACCCCTTCAACTTCAAACTTTAAAGTGTTTGTTCTTACCCTATTTCTAGATGGACTATACAGTGGTTGACTTGAAATTGTTGGATATATTTTATTTTTTGTGACGACAGAATTAATGGACTTCTCTTTTGCCTATCAACTTCTCTTTGCCCTTCTTAAAATATGAAATATGCTTTGGCTTTAAATAATGCACAAAGGGTTGATAAACCATAAAAAAATCTCTTTTCCATCGTCTCCACTTTTCCCCTCTTCTCGTCGTCTCCTCCTTCCCCCGCTCTTCTCTTGTCGTCTCCTCCTTCCCCCACTCTTCTCTCGTCATCTCCTCCTTCCCCCGCTCTTCTCTCGCCGTCTCCTCCTTCCCCCGCTCTTCTCTCGTTGTCTCCTCTTTTTTCTTTTTTTCTCTTCGTCTCTCTTTTTCCCGCTCTTCCTCGTCGTCTCTCTTTTTTCTCTTCTCTCGTCGTCTCCTTTTTTCCCCGCTCTTCTCTCCGTCGTCTCCTCTTTTTTCCCCGCTCTTCTCTCGTCGTCTCCTCTTTTTTCCCCGCTCTTCTCTCGTCGTCTCCTCTTTTTTCCCCGCTCTTCTCTCGTCGTCTCCTCTTTCCCCCCCTCTTCTTTTCGTCTCCTCTCTTCTCTCGTCGTCTCCTCTTTTCCCCCCTCTTCTCTCGTCGTCTTCTCTTTTCCCACTTCTCTCGTCCTTCTTTCTCCCTCCCCTCTCTCCCTTCCCCCCTCTTCTCTCGCCTGTTCTTGCCCTCTTGCCTCTTGCTGTCTTCTCTTTGTGCATTTTACGATTTTCAATATTTTTCAATTGCTTTTACTATTCTTCCCTTTATTTTCTTCTTTCCTTCAGTTTTCCACCCTGTGCTTCTTTTCCATTCTCTCGTAACAAAACGCTCTGCATTTCACCTCCTCCTCCTCCTCCTTTCCCCTTTTATTTCCTTTTCTATCATATAACGATTAAATATTTTGATTGAAGTAGAAACTGATGATAAAGAGAGACTTCTCAGATGCATTTCCTGTGTGGCAGAAAGTGCCAGCATCAGCGGGTTGAGCAGCTGCAGTGCTGGAAGAGCCGGAGGGGGTGTCTCCCCCCCCCAGCCTCTTCCCTTTCTTTTTTTTTTTTTTTTTTTTTTTTTTTTTGCCAGCTGTTTGCCCCGTATACTTTTATCTCTGCATTGATGCCTTGGGCAGGCAAGGTAGGTGTCTGGGTTGTTGTCAGGGTAGGGAACGGGTCTCCACATCTCCATCCATCATTTTTTGCTGCATCTGGGAAAGAATAAAAATCTACACCAGAAAAATCCCAGAGAAAATGATGTCATCGCTTTGGTAAACAAGCTGGAATTGAAGGAGTTGCTTTTCAGCTCTACCCTAAACTGATAGTTTTCACATGAGCCATTTTTTTTTTCTTAATTTGTGTGTGTGTGTGTGTGTGCGCGCGCGCCTTTTTATATATATATATATATATATATATATATATTACTCTATCATGTTTTCTCTTTAATTTTGCTGCTTCTGAATTGGAAACACTGGTAGGAGAGAAAACTTTATAAAATATGATCTCTCTCTTTCTGATCTTAGCTTCTTTCTCCCACATACAATCCCTGTTTTTGCTTCTTTTCTCTCTCTCACTCACATTGTTCCTCCTTTTCTCTCTTATTCCTCCCCACACTTCTCTCTCTGTCATTCCTCCCCACACTTCTCTCTCTGCCATTCCTCCCCACACTTCTCTCTCCACCTTTTTGCTCTCTCTTATTACTCTCCACACTGCCCTTTCTCTTTGATACATTTATCCTATGCTCTTTTCCCTACTTCTCTGGGATTTGTCTTTCTGCTTTGACACAGTTGATTTTGGTGCTATAAAAGAGACTCCATTTCTCTTTTCAAGTAACCTCTGTACAGCCATGTCTTTATCTACCATAGTTTTCTGGCTTTTAAATTCTCCATGGAGGTTTTATCTCTTGTTGCACAATTTCATTCAGTTTTCTTTTCCTCACTTTCTGTTTTTTTTTACCCCCCCGCCCTCTCCAACCTACACACACCTGCTCTGTTGTAAATATTTAATAAATCATATTTTGGCCACTAGAAACAATTATTTTAATTTTCATTTTTATTTCATTTTTAATCTGTGTACCTCGTGATTAATTTGATATTTCTATTTTTGGAATTATTTTTAATCAATTCACTCCAAGCAAGGCAATAATGCCACTAAGATGTACGGGGTTACTGAGAGTGGAAGTAAATGAGAAGACGTTAATGAGGAGAAAAGACAATAAATGAACAGAATCCAAGGAAGCAGAATATTGTGATTGATGTTGCATTTAAATTTTTGAAGATGGGAGTGACAGGGAAGCAAAAAACCAGAAGTGTTCCATGGGGAAGAAGTGCAAGAAAAAAAACTGTTAGAACAGGACTTACATCTTGCTATTTCAACCATAAAAGGATGAGACCTAGCTGCCAACCTAGTACTACGCTCAAATTCAAGTGGTTGAGGTACCAAGGAAAAAAAGCTCAGAACAATTGCCATATAAAGATTTACCGAAAAGACAGAAGTACGCCACATCATGGCAATGGGCAAGTAACTGATGTCAAGATGCCAGATCAGGACCAATAATATTACAGACCCTTCTTTGGATTTTGCCAAGAATCTTGCAATATATTGCAGGAGCAACAGACCACACGTGGCAGCAATATTCAATGGGTTTTTTTTTTATTTTATTCTAGTTTTAATCATTTTATTTAATTTTGTAAATATTGGGTTGGAATTTATCCAAAATAATAAATTCCATGGAATAAAATTTTAACAAACAACCTGATATCAACAAATTCGAAAATTGAACAAAATTAAATTTGCAGGTAACACGAAACTGTGCAGCAAATTGTGAACGTTTCAGAAACTCTGTATTTGCCCAGATTCATTCCTGTCAGCTACAACTGTTGGAATTTAGTGCAAATCAACGGAATTCCTGTGTTTCTGCTACTAGAGTTCTTGCTGACTTTTGGTGATAAATTCTTACCATCCTTTGCTGTCATCAGAAACTGTGACAAATTGAATGAATCATCAGTTACCATGGCGCCAAATTTCTTTACAGTGCTAGGAGATTAATATCTTTTAAAAACTCTTCAACTTTGCTAGAAACATACATACACACACACAATCACGGCTCTCCACAATTTCCTGTGTTTTTTTTTTTTTACTATAATACTGTTCCATAAATCATAGTTATCTTTTATATACATTTTAGTTTTGACATGTATTTTATCAATTTTGTCATTCTTTTATATAAAAATAATCCTTTTAATTATAATTTACAGTATTATGGTAAAGTAAACTTTATTTTTATGGCTTATCAACCTTTTGCAGGTTATTTAAAGCCAGAAAATATTTTTTGATTGTAAGATTTTTTTTACAGATAATGATTTACTGATACAAGTCCCACTAATTAACCCATAGCTGGGTAGAGAAGAGATGGATTCACACCCTTTCCCAAGGATTTTTGGGAGTAAGTGAATATAACAAACTCAACTGGAATTGGAACATGGCTCTCCAATTTACAATTCCGACTTGTTATCTATAACAAGACCTGCACATTCAAGCTTACAGCACCTGATATTCCCAGTCACCCATCTAGGTACTGACTAGGCTTGACATTGCTTAACTTCGGTGAATGTACAGGAACTGTTTTTTCAATGTGATATGGTCGTAAGCTTTTTAAGATGTTAAACTATGTCCACGTCCTGGGTAAGACGTTAAACTACGTCCAGCAGCAAAGCCTCTGATCAGGAGGTTTAGAGGAGTGTGGAACTATCTCTTAATTGCTGGTGTTCCCAGCTCCACTCTGACCCGGGGTGGTAGCACCTGTTAGGGTCCCAGCTATGGACAAATAGTTAACTATTACCAGCAATACTTTTTTTGAAAAAAAAATTATTACCAGCAATACAATTTTGAAGGAAATATATTACCAGGAACAGATTTTTGAAAAAACAAAACATTACCAGCAATGAAAATTTTGTTGGCATTAAATAACCCATTGAGGTTGATATGCCGTAAAACAAACCAAACCAATCTAAACCAAAAAATACATAATCTATTCATACAAATTTATCCTAAAAATGTTGTCAGCATTAAATAACCCATTGAGGTTGATATGCCGTAAAACAAAATAAACCAAACCTCTTTTTAGTTTGGTGGCTGAATCTTTTAGAATTTTGGTTGGATAGAGAATGGGTGGGGGATGAGGTGGCAAGTTTCAGTTGAACTACAATATGGCCTTACAGGACCCAAGTAAAACCTGACAAATGCATTTTTTCCTCACATTAGTGTCAACCTACTACTGCCAGCTTTCCCTGGCTCTGGGATGCAAGGGGTTACTGAGTGTTAGACAATATGAGAAAAAGAAAACTTTACGGCGAGAGAACAATAAAAGAACAGTAATTAAGAAGACAGAAAATAACAATTGACATTGCATTTAAATTTTTGACGATGTAAGTTGACTGGGAAGAAAGAAGCTGGAAGATAGTCCACAAGTGAGAAGTGTGACAGAAGAAACTATTAGCATAGAACTTATGGTTATGTCTAGCTATTTCAACTGTGAGACCTAGCTGCCAATCTAGTACTGCACTTAAATTTGTAAAGCAAAGAAACATTTGCAATTATGCCATCAAATAAACCAATGCAACTAGACTATTATCTCATTGTTACCACAATATTTTTAGTGTTTTCTCTCTCCTCTATGGTGTCCTGCGTAAAAGGATAAACTACATTCAACAGCAGGGCCTCTGATAAGGAGATTTTGAGGAGTGTGGAAATGCCTCTTAATTGCTGGTGTTCCCAGGTTCACCCTGACCTGAGGTGGTAGCACCTGTTAGGGTCCCAGCTATGGGCAAATAGTTAACCCTGAAACTGAGGTAAAAAGCATTATAAAAGTATAAAAATAGGTTTTAATGCTAGAAATACTTTGTAAAAAAATTATTACCGGAAATAAATTTTTGAAGAAAAAACTATTACCCACAAAATATTTGTGAAAAAAAAAGAGAAAAATTACCAGCAATACATGTGATTGTACTCAAAAATATGGTAATTAAAAAATGGTTCAAATGTATAGGTATACATACACACCTTTTTTTTTTTTTTACCAAATTATCACTATGAATCTATTTCAAAAATTTTGTTGGCATTAAATGACCCACTGAGGTTGATATGCCATAAAGCAACCAACGAATTCTCTTCTATGGTTTAAAATCCTGGCTTTTCACTTGGCCTCAGATACCAGTCTTTAGTACCCAGTGAGAAACATTTTATTTGTAATTTACTTACTTGCTTGCTGCAAATATTTGCACCTGAGCAAAACTCTTCTCTTTTACCTTACCCCCCTTACTATCTCTGGCTCAGGACTCCTCCCATGGGATCTGTTCTGTCGTCTTTGATACATCTTTTGCAAAGGGACCTAGTTGTTTACTCCAGCAATTAAAGATAAGCTGATAAGATTCTCTCTAAAGGAATGCGACAGTTTCGAGAGGTGGGGGTCTTCATCATTAGGGCTGTCAGATCCTGGGGTCACATCTGTTCTGTTCCTTGAAACTTGATTTTCAATTTATTTGCCTTTTACACTTTAAAATGATCTTTATTTCCTCCAAAGGTTTTATTAAAAAATAAAATCTGAACTTCATTTCTTTATCTTGTTTTTATTTATTTGTATTTATTTCTTAAATAGTAAATCCCTTCAGGGCATAAGGTGATCATAACTCTGTATGGATTCCCTTTCTTCATTATCTGTGAATTGAAATGACTTCTTGGGAAAGATAGTGGAGTCGAACCTCCGTTACTTGCTTCTGTCTCTTGGTTTGAGAACAGAAGTTTTTTTGGTTTTGTTTTTTTTTTTTTAAGTTTTATTTCTTGATTGGAATTTTTAAAAAATTTTCATTTTATCTGTTGGTAATAGCACTTCGTAATTTTTTTTCTTGTGTGTGCGAGATATATTTCTGTTTATGTTATTTTTAGAGATACAATTTAAGTAAATGCTGTTTTCAATTAAACGGTACTATATATACTAGCCTGAATGTTTGAAAAATTTTATAGAAAATATGCATTCTTCAACAGGAATTGAACCTGCATTCCTAGCTCATCTGTAAGTAAATGGTATAGCATATCAGATCAAATGATGGTTTCTGTATAAGAAATACAGGTTAGAATACAATTAAAAACTGCATTTATGCAAATAAATTGTATATATAAAAAATTTTACTTATTATAAAACGCAGATTGTGTGTGTGTGTCTGTACATTTATATATTGGATCGGATTTCCTACATTTTTCAACCGATTTCAACAAAACTTTTTTTTGGCAGGTAGTGTTTCTTATTGTCTTGCACACTTTTTTCTTTATTTTTACATTCAGAATGCTTTAAAAATTCCATTTACAAGACAATTGTTTATAATAAAATTCTATTCAATCGGTAGACTCATAACGATTGAAAACAATGTTTTTGTTTGAGTTTGGGTTTGACCAATTCGTAAAAAAAAATAAAAATAAAACTAATTAAGACATGCGTGTCCGTCAACCTAAAACAATAATCTTTGTCAATTTTATTTTTCAGTCTTTATGATGGTCGATACTTGATCTATCTCTTACTGTTACATCCCCAGGTAACGCCGGGCTCTACTGCTAGTAATATATAAACAGAAAATACATTAAATAATTGTCAGATTTAATCCATTTCATTTTTATATATATATATATATATATATATATATATATATAGGTATATGATCGAGTGGTTAGAATGTTCGCTTTTTGACCATGAGTCCCGGGTTCAAATCTCATGGTCTGCTCAGCATAGT